ATTTCACACCTGTGGCGGGGTTGCGCCGCAAAATCTCCATAGCACGTGGATTGATGTGGCCGAGGCGCCGGTGCCAGAGGTCGGCGCTCACGCTCATCGCCACTGAGCATGTCGCGTGCGGAGTGTGATCGACCTGTACCGCTTCTGGTTTTCCGAACTTCGGCTTGCGCCCTGGTTTTTGGTTGTTCGGGGGTGTCTTGCTTGTCGACGCTGGATCGCCCTTGAATGTGATGGCGAGGGTGCACATGCCTTGGTCTTGAGTCTCTTGTTTCAGAGGAACGACGACTTCTCCGCCAATGGTGAGGTGTGGGGTCTTGTCTTCCAGGACACATCGGAGGCCCTTCTTGAGAAGGGCCGTTGGTGCGAAGATGTTCCGGCCTAGTCCTGGCACGATGAGACCTTGTAGTTTGACGGGTAGTTGCTGTTCTTTGTCGTCTTCGATGGTGCAGTGTAGGATCCCAGTGGTAGTGCCTCGTAGTTGGCTTTCTCCTGCAACGTCGATGATCTTGGGCGTCGGGCGTTCTTCTTCGAGACGTCCATTCGGGATGAGGCGGTTGTCGAACATGATCTCAGAAGCTCCAGAATCCACCAGCGCTGAAGTCGCAGTTGCAGTTGTCGTGAAAGTGCGTCCGCTTCCCTTGCTGCATGTAGCATGGTACATGAATCCACCCTTGAATGCATCTTCGTCGTAAGAGAAGTCGATCTCTGCTTTCTCGGCCTTCTCTGCTTCTTTGGGAGTTTCCTTTGTGGTAGGCTTGGCGTGTGTGTCTCTTGACTGGGTTAAGCAGTGCACGCAGTGTGTGCATGCAGAAAAGGCCTTGCCCGTGTGTTCTGGTCGCTTGGCTCCTTGGTTGTAACACTCTTCGTCGGAGTGTGTAGTGGTGTTATGGACGGAGCACCACTTGGTTGCTCCCGCAGGCTTCGTCTTCTTTGCCCTATGGCCCTCCCGCTGGCGATTGGGACAGTTCCTCCTGACATGTCCCGGTTCGTTGCACTCGAAGCAGATGGGGCCAGATGTCTTGGTAGCCATGGCGAATCCGCGGCCAGCGATTTGGCCCTTGGTTCTCTTGCACATTTGCTCGTCAAGGAAAATGTTGCGCATGGTGGCTTGCATCTGTTGTACGTCGAATGATGGGTCGCGGAAAACCATCATCTTGATGTCCTTGTAGTCCTCGGAGAAACCTTGCACACAGATGTCCTTGAAGCGGCGATCGGTGATGATTTTCCCCATTTTCTCTAGTTGAGAGCGGAGGCGGTGTTTCTTGTTGAAAAAATCGTCCGGGTTCTCTCCTGGCTCCATGACCGTCCTTTCCAGGTCGTCCAGTTTAGCCCTGATCACTTCATCTGTAACTCGATTGTAGTTGGCCTTCAGTTCCGCGAATGCTGCCTGCCCGTCGCCGCTAAGGCCGGTGTCGTCTTCGTGCTTGTGTACGGTTAGTGCAGCCGGCAGTTCGACGAGGCAGAATAGGATTGCGTAGAGGTCTTCGTTTGCTCTCTCGTATGCGGCGAAGTTGGTGTCCGAGGG